TGGAGTAAAGCTGATTCTGTAGCTGATTTTGTGTCTTGAGGGGAAACTTTAAGGGCAAGTGTGGGGATAAAATAGTTTGTACTTGTAATTAACAGTGCAGACCATTCCTTCCCACATGGAATTCCTAAAGGAAATACTAGATACGTGTGCGTGAGTGTGTGTTTATGTTTGTATATACTGATATGAATTTTCATTTTATGCAAGGTAATGGAAGCTATTTGGAAGGAAAGTAATTTTTTTCTTTAAATTGCAAAGGTTAAATCTAAAGGTTGTCTGCCTTTAAATAAAACAATTTTCATGGGATTATTTTTGCCAGTACATTGGCGCTAAATGAATTCTTTGTGCTCTTATTAATAATACTGCCAATTAAACTCTGAGGAATAAAATATGCCAGCAAAGTTTTAAGAAACTTGGGAAGTGCTATAGTAGCTTAAAAGTCAACAAAACATATGTTATAGGTATGGTTAAAGATTTTCTCAGAAAACAAAATTATGGAGGCTACCAGTTCTTGGGAATTTGGATTTTCTCCCCTTGTTCTCTTTCATTTTTCCCCTTTTTACTCTGCATCTGTACAGAGTAAATGTGACTGTATCTCATATATCTAATCATCAAATGTAATGTCTACCACATAGTAGACGTGGAGATACTCTTCCTGAACATTGTCATAGGGATCTTTGTTATTTATATTTAAGACTCAGTTTTATACTTTCAAGTCCCAATTTATGAACAATGAAAATGAGTAACAGATTCATAAGCTCCTTGTGGCTCAACTTGCTCTGCCAACACTTAGCACAATAAAGGTAATGCTTCCCTGCCTCTCAGGTGCATCAATGTTACTGACATTACTCTAAGTTGAATTCTAGTAGAATATGGCACCATTTTATCAGCAGAATGATCTCAAAAAATGGCATATTATTCAATATTCCTGGACAATAAATTGAGGTAGGAATAGACTTGATCATGTTTAAAAGGCTCACATCTCCTGACCTAAACTCAAGAAAAATGTCACTCACAAGCTAGTGCTTAGGTTAATTATGAGATGGACAACTGACGCACATGTGGCAGGAAAATGGTCAAGATGTTATAGAGCAGCCCAGATATTGAATGGGTTCCTGGCTGTGGGTCCTCACCCGCGCTTAAAAGGGACTTATTAATACTCCACTACAGGCACACACAAAAGGTTAATAAAAGGTTTATTTACAAGGGAAAAGGAAATAAAGAAAATGTACAACTCAGGAAGAAAAGAGGGAAATAAAGTCTTTAATGCGTCCTACCCGATCCGATGAACTGGAAACCCAAAGTCACTCAGAGCTGGCCAGACGCTGCTAGCTGGTGGAGAGCCAAAATGGGGGACCCCCAAAGCCCACGTGTCTGCCTTTTATCTCAAACTGGCTGCTTAACCCCACCCTCAGGTCCCAGCTTCCTTCTCTCTGGTGGTGATGGGATTTGGAGTTCCCAATGTCTTTGGCTTTGGCCTGGGGTGGGGGGTGGAGTCCACAAAGCCTGTATGGAATTAGCTTTAGGACATCCTTTTCCCCCTAACAAAGAGATTTAAATATGAGCCAAGGAATGGGAAAATACTATCACTGATCTTCTACAATAGAGTGAGGGGACTAACTCCTTCTTAGCACGAACCTTACTCTCCAGAACTGAAAGACTGAGACATTGTGTAAAAAGAAAAATTATTTTTTAAAGATTTATTTATTTTATTTATGCATACAAGAACTGGGGTCTAGGCCAGAGGTGCAGGGGGTAAGAGGATTCACCAGAGACAGAGTGTGGAGCAGAACAGGTGGATCTACTGAAATACACTGCTGAGGAGAGCAGCGGATAAGACAGGAGAGGTTTGCTGCGCCATGTGTGTTAGGTCCCTGGCTGGGTATTGAACTCAGCCTGTAGCAGTGATAGCAGTGAGACTTAAGCCCTAGGCCACCAAGGAGGCCCTGGCATAAACATTTTTAAACATTGACAACCCAGTGTGATTTCCATTAAGAAAGTCTGTCTCATAGTCTGGGATCCAATAGCCTCTTTAAACATTTGTGTTAGCATGTGGAATCCAAAGCTATCAAACATTCAAAATAGGTCATGCTTGCCAAAGGGGGGGAAAAAAATAATCCTCAATGTCATTTAAATTCAATAGTCTGGCTAATAGTCCATGATTGCAAAGAGAATTGGGTTTTCCCTTTAATGATAGGTTGTCCTCTTATAATTTTGTAAGTATGTAAATTTAAGGAACTCTACTTCTGGGAAGATGGAGTAGTGTGATTTTTCCTGTTTCCCTCAGTAGGTACAATTAAAAATCTCTGTGTAAGACAAAACTAGAAAACTCTGAATGGTAGAGAGAAGGAATATGTGTAAGGATCTTGAGACCCAAGGAACAAAAATGTGGAGATCTCTAGGTTTTCTTTTTGTCTCATATATCCTCTATGTGCTCTAAGAAGCCAGCAACCCAGAAAGACATGTTGATGCAGACAAATAAAAATCAGCATTATAAAATTGTTCTCTCTAATCAAAGGCCCAAGAAAAGGCCAACAAAGTGAGACAGAATAGCTCTAGACAATAACTGTTCAGTGTTAGCAAAATACCATAGATAGAAAAAACAAACTTTGACATCATTTCCAGCTAGTCATACTATAATAAGTTATTCCAAACCCCTGGTCTGAGAAGTATTAAAGAACACCTGCAGTAATACCTAAAATGATCAATAAAAAGAAATCTCTTGTCATACTAAGAAATAAAATTTCAAATTGAATAAAAATATAATTAATACATGAAAACTCTGAAATGAGAGAGATGTTAGAATTATCTAACACGGATTTAATTATATATTATAAAAAATTCAAGGGCTAATTAAACATTTGAAGCAAATAAGAAAATAGAGATTCTTGGCAAAAAAATAGAAATTCTCACAAAGAGAAAACAACAAAATGAAAATTTTTAGAACTGAAAAGTATAATAGCAGACATTGAAAATAATGGATATGCACAATAACAGACGAATTAATGAACTTGAAGTTCAAACAATAAAATATACCCAAATTCAACAACAAACAAAGTACATCAAGGGAAGAAAAAAAACAAACAAAAAATCAAGAACCTGTGGGATTAGAGTGATTCAGTGAAATTTGGGAAGGAGATGATAAAGAGGGAAGGACTGAAAAATATTTACATAAAAGGTGGACTATTTCTCAAGTTTGATGAATTTGGTGAAACTCAAGGAGGATAAAGCCAAAGGAATCTACATCATAAGCAAACTTCTGAAAATTAAAGACAAAGAAAAGATCTTCAAAGCAGTGGGAAAGAAATGACATCTCATCTTCAAATCAAACTTTTTTCAAATAACATTGGATTTTTCACCAGAAACTATTCAGAAGCAAGTAAGCCAACATTTTTCAAGTGTTGAGAGAAAGTAATTATCATCTCATAATCTTACATCCAGTGAATATATCCTCAAGAATGAAAGAATTATTAAGGCAGTATACTATAAATAAAAAGCAAGAGAATCTGTCACAAGAACATACTCCCTAAAATAATGGCTAGAGGAAGTTTTTTATACAGAAAGGAAATGAGAAAAGAATGAACTGGGAAAATCAGACAGGATGAAAGGATAGTAAGAAAAATAGGAGTAAATAGATTTTTTCTTCCTTTCTTGAGTTTTTTTGGAAAGCGTGTTTGACAGTTAAAGCGAAAATAATAAATACGTAGAGATGAAATGATGATTAAGAGAAATATATAATAAGCAGGGAAGGGCAAAAGAATATGAAGGGAGATAAGCTTTCTACATTTCTATAAAACTTGTGGCATTCCAGCAAAATATGCAAAGTTAAGTGTGTGTAATATAATATGGAAACTATCCACTAACACCATATCTCATTATGGACTGCTGCATACTCAAATACTAGATAAATAAAAATAAAATCTAAATATCATTCAAGAAACACATACTAAGATGAAAATAAGAGACCTGAAAAAACAGAACAGCAACAACAATAACATTCATACATTTGAGCCTGAACACATCAATAACTTTAACATTAAATGTAAATAGTTTGAATAAACCAAATGTAGATGGTTTAAATACACCATTTAAGTAGACAAAACACATGCCCATTCTAAACTATGTTCATGAGAAATTTACTTTAAATATAATGATATAGGCAGTTAAAAGTGAAAGAATAGAAAAAAGATTTATCATGTAAACATTAGTCAAAAGAAAGCAGTTGTCATTAGTATCAGATAAAGTAGAATGCAGAGCAAAGAAAATCATCATAGAGAAGAACATTTTACAATGATAAAAGGGCCAATTCATCAGAAGGACATAGCAGTCCTGATTGTGTATAAAAACAAACTGTAAAAGAGCTGTAAAATGAAGTAAAATCTGATAGAACTGGAAGGAGAAATAGACAAATCTATGATTACAGTTAGAAACATCAACACCATATTGAGCACTTATGTGCAAAGTACTGTGCATGGAATAGTGAAAACAAAAAAGAACGTAAAACTCAGGGTCTATTGAGGAAGACAAATGTTGTTTAACTAGAATACTATTTAAATCACCAATATTCTACAAAAGGAATCTTCGAAATAGCCAAAGTTTAATCTCTCTTGTTTTCAAAATACCGTATTTTAGTATCAACAATAAGTAGACCAATAAATAATTCCCATGTTATAGAGCTTTATTAAATCTGTGGTTCTATTGCTGCACTTTCCAGAGATAATAAAGAGGTTTGCATTAACCCTTTGGAGACTGCAAACCCTACCCAGCTTATAATCAGGGTCATGGACTTTTCTAGATGCTTCTAATGATTTTTTTTCCCTCCCAATAAGGCAATTCAAACTGACTCAGTCCCTGCCATAACCTCTCAGTTTTACCTGGGAGGTTGATGGGACCTTCAATAGGGTAATAAAATGTATTTTGATGAGATACAGGGGCTGGATTGGGGAAAACTGGAGTAACTCCAACGTGTCAGAACCAGTGAGCTGAAAAAGATGCTGGCTTACCACGGTGTAGATCTGATGCTTTCGTCTTTTAGCCAAGTCAATTATATTTATTCCATTGTAATAAAGGTTTTCAATACATCCATGGAAGTTTTTCTTTAGGAAGGTTCCAGGTTTGCCTGGTACTGGGATTCCTCCAAAACTAAGCTTTATGAGGAGAGAGAAAAGAAAAAGAGCTATTAGTTATAAAGTCTGAATGAATAGTAAGGGAAAGGAAGCAAGTAAATTTCAGTATATCCAATTGTGTGCATGAGGCAAGTGGCTCAAATAATTATAGATGCCACTTGATTACAAATTTAAAAGAATACTGATTAGCCTATGTAAAAATAACTATAATTGCTTGCTCTTTAAGGGCTTATTTTACAAATCTATTTCACTTTTTTTTGGATCCTGTTTAATACTACATAAAACAATAATTTACAGGGGAGAAAATAGAAAAGAAAATCAACATCTTTATATTTATTTCTTAGGCTAGCATCTGAGAGAATTAAAGATAGGGACACACAAAATATATGTCTATTTAGCTATAGAGTGACCCAGTTTTAAAACCTGTATTGTACCAAAAAAAAGGCATTATGTACAAGTGTTACCAAATTATTTTCCTTACAAATTAAAAATAAGAAATAATTTAAATATCCCAAACATCTTTTAATGAAAATCATGAAGAAATAATCAATAATAATTATTAAGCATTAAGCATTTGAGAAAAAAATGAGAAATGGATATAATGAAATATACAGGAGTAATAATTGGATGCAAAGTATGATGTCAGCAATAAAAAATTGTGCTTACAATATAGACTTGGAGAAAATACCCTGAATTGTTAATAGTGGTTTTCACTGAGAAAACTATGAAATACTACTTTGCTTTACCATTAGCCACCACTTTGCTGTAAAGTAACTACTAATTATGCTTGTCATGGAAATATTTTAAAATGCAAATCTTATCTGATATGAATATTTTTATTGTATCAAAAAATCAAATAGTTTCTAAAATCATGTTTATTGCAATGTCATTTAATAAGTAATTCAGTTTTTCTTTTCTTTTTTTTTAAAGATTTATTAATTTATGCATACAAGAGCTGGGGTACAGGCCAGAGATGCGAGGGGTGAGAGAATTCACCAGAGACAGAGAGGGGAACAGAATAGGCAGACTGACTGAAATACACTGCTGAGGGGAGCAGCGGGCAAGACAGGAGAGGTCTGCTTCACCATGTGGATAGCGCCCTGGCTGGGGATCAAACTTGTGCTGCAGAGGCTGCGGATTGCTTCATAGTGTGGTGCTTAACCCCTTGCGCCACCAGGGAGGCCCAATTCCATTTTTCATTATGGCTTTGAAATGTCTCCACATGTTCTTAAATTATATTAGTGCTTGGGAATAAAACAGGTGGATCCTTTCTTCCGACCAGAATGCCTTCTCTGTCTGTAAACTGCTACTGATAAACCAAGAGTTATTTCTAGTTGTCTATTTCTTTTGACAGTTCAACACTATTTTAAAAAATATTCCTTTAAACACTATACTATATGATAAGGATTAGTAATCCAGCCACACACTTTTAATTTTCATTGCTTTGCCCTGTTAAGAAATTATTTGACAGGGACATCTCTGGTGGTGTAGGGGTTAAGTCACAGCACTATCACCCCTGTGGCCTCAGTTGGATCCACATGGCACAGCAGACCTCCCTCTCTCAACCACTGTTCCCGTCGGCAGTGTATTTCAGTAGATCTGCCTGTTCTGCTCCCCACTCTGTCTCTGCTGAATCCTCTCACACACACTCCCACCTCTGGCCTACACCCCATTTCGTCTATGCAAAAATTAAAAAAAAAAGAAGTTATTTGATTATTTTTGCCTATTTTATCCTGGTTTAATTTTAAAATAATAACATTTAAAAAAAACCTACTGGAATTTGAGATTTTTAAATTTCCATTAACACATTTTTTTGGAGAAGAGTATGTTTGAAATATTTCAACCTTCTCTATTAGAACCCAGTATCTTTTTTTTTTTTTAAGATTTATTTATTTATACAAGAGCTGGGGTATAGGCCAGAGGTGCGGGAGGATGAGAGAATCCACCAGAGACAGAGCAGGGAGCACAACAGGCAAAAGGACTGAAATACACTGCTGAGGGGAGCAGCAGGTGAGACAGGATTGCTCTGCCATGCCATGTGGGTATCTCTCTGGCCGGCCAGGAATCGAACTGGTGCTGCAGAGGCTGCGGACAGCTTCACAGCGCTGCGCTCAACTGCCTGCACCACCAAGAAAGTCCCCAGTATCTTTTTTATTATCACATTATTTTTGGCAATAACCTTCACCTAAGGTTATCATTTATTTTCCCTAGTTATTATGTTCATAATTAAATAAATTCCCTGTGAATTTATGCTTTGAAAATTTACATTGTAAATGAATTGTTTTCATTAATTAAACATTTTATCATGTAAATTAATGTAACCATCCCATTGTGTTTCTTAAAAAGGTAAATCTATTAAACAAAGTACTTTCTAGCTAATTTCCTTGAAATTTTTTTAAAGATTTATTTATTTATGCATACAAGGGCTGGGGGACAGACCAGAGGTGTCGGGGGTAGGGTGAGAGGAATCACCAGAGACAGAGTGGGGAACAAAACAGGCAGACTGATTGAAATACACTGCTGAGGGGAGCAACTGGGAGACAGGAGAGGTCTGCTGCACCATGTGGGTTGCTCCCTGGCAGGTTGGGGCTCGAACTCGTGTGCAGAGGCTGCAGAGCTTAACCACTTGTGCCACCAGGGAGGCACGTTTCCTTGAATTTTTTAAGGGACTAATCATGTCATATATTTAAACACTTTACTTTTTTCAAGTCAATTTTATAAATTTATTTCTTATTTCTGGTCAAGGCACCCTAAAAGCTAGTCAGAAGTTTTTAAACAATGTTAAATAATAATTATGTCATACAACATTACAAAAAAGATCTTTCCACTTCTGTTTTACATGTTCTTCAAAATTCTTTGTGACAGAACTCAGGGCATTTTATAAATGTCATAATTAAAAATTTAATTCTATAATAGGTTGAGTTATATTTGTAGATAATAAATTTATAATAGATTTCTTTGACCCACACCTTCCATTTGCCTTGAAATATATGTGCTTGTATTTTAAGTAGTAAGCAATTTTGAGCACTAGTTTACTTTTTTTGGTCAAGTATCTATTCAAGTCTAGATTTGTCTCTGAGCAAAATAAAGGGAATTTTATCTCCGTCTATTAAAAACAATTCATGAATCTTGGAAATACTATAGAAAACAAAACAAAAAATACACCAGTGGATTTAATTTCACAAATATTTTGTAAAAAGATTTATTTGACAACATAAAATTTTTCTTCTTTATTTATTGAAGCCCCCAAATATTTCAAATAGCCCATTACATTAAACAAGATCCAATTCTATTTTGTATATTATTTCCATAAATTAAGTTCATAGTGTAAGTGTAAGTAAATGTTTGTTTCGTTTAATGTTAATTTTCAAAGACTTTATTTTACAGTATGTTCCCTATAAACCTTAGAGGAACTTTCAGAGTTTTCTCAAGATTCATGAGCTTTTCTGTTTCGTAAACAATTGAAATTTTATTTGGTAGACACATCTATCTAGGTAAGGTGTTTTTAATGAGGGACCACAATGATCGTCATTTTATAATGGCCTTAACCTTCTGACCTTAATTTTTCTAGTCCTTTTTCTTCTTTTGTACACATTTAATCAGTGAAATGTTTTACCCAGTTCCAACTTATTTTTTTAATGAGTTTTTTTTTTTTTTTCCTCTCACTGCTCTAAGTGTGCTTTGTAATCCACCTAATCTGGAGTTTCTTACTTTTTGTTTTTGTGTCTTTTATGCATTACGTAAAGTTTACTTTTTTTATGCTTGACTTGGATGACAAGCACTATGATTATCTAATATTTCAAACTATAGCTTTGGATAACTTTTGCTGAAGCACATTGATTTAGTTTTCCTCAGCCCCAATGTTTTCTGAATTTTGCTTACAAAAAATACTATTTTTATTAATCAGCAACCCGCTTTTGTCCACTTTGAAGTTCTTCTTAAGAAATTCTATTCTGTGGCAATTTGTTACAAAATTGCATATATTTGTGAGTTATATCAACATTTATCTTCCACCTTTTCACAACAAAGATTACAAACACAATCTCAGGAGTGACTCAAACTGAGTTTCAAACCTGATCTGCCTTGTACTTTCTGTAAACATGGAGAAAAATACATAACAATGTGTACTTTGTTTGTGTCACATCGCTTAGGGAATAATGATAAAACTTATCTCATATTAATAACTTAGCTTGACAGGGTTAATATAAGAATGAAAGGAAGTCTGGCACCAGAAGCATTTAGAAGGAATTCTGCACAGTGTTGTTCAGATATTGCTCTCACTGTCAGCAAATGGTCCATTGACATGTTCTTCCACAATGGTATTTTGTGCTATTGTTTTCAGCAATTTCTGATTTTAAATGATACATAGTTACTTTTGTAATATTTTTAAGTCTGAGAATTACTTTATACTAACAGTTGTTATTAATAGCAATTAAATTGAGTAGGTTTTAATTTTTGAATTAATAAATAAGCAATCTTTTCCCCAAGATCCTGTCAAAGTTTCCTTCTGCTTCACAAATTTTTGGAACACTGAAACTAAAGGTCCATTGTTCTTTTCTAGCTTCAAATTGGCATTGAGGAAGAAAAATAGAGAAGAGACTTGTTAAAAGTGTATGATCACTGTCTATTTTCAAATATCTTTTTTTCCAATTTTAGGATAACTAGTATTATAATATTGAATGTAATGTTCTATGTCACTTATTCAAAGAAAGAATATCTTCTCAGCTATATCTCTTTGTGGATTCTTATTATTCATTTATCATCCTAAAATATAATGGTTAATTTTTGTTTGGTTTCTTAATTTCTATCCTAAAATTATAGGGTTTTTTTAGTTACTTCAGTTGCTGTGTTGTAAAAGCTATTATTTTCATTGACTCACATATCACATTGTGTTTATAATTGTCCATGCACTCCTTATGAATTTTAATGAATCTTTAAATTGATCTTTATTTTTAAGCCAAATCACTTCATTTATTGCTGTAATTGGCTGGGGTACCTATCATATGATTTTATCTTTTCAT